ATCCATTTCTGAGTTCATGAATTATTAGAAGAGCTTCGTTTTCTCAAGGTTTGTTGGATAATAGGTTGCCCTCAATACCAACCATGTAGTTTCCTTAGAATGTATGGCAACTTGCTTTGTCAAAGCCAGCAAGAGAGAAAAGCGGTGGAGTTGTGACTAAGAGGGAAGTCACAACCTTATGTAGCTCAATAATGAAATGGCATCCTATTAGTTTCTATGGTTGGAGGTAAGTCAATAGGACAGCACATACTCAAGAGAGGGGCTTCCACAGGCAGGAGCAGTAGAAGGAAGAGATCATAGGTAATATTTTTTTAACTTTTCCCTGATACAAAGCATCTTCCCCCTCACCCACAAAAGAGTTTAAAACTAAGGTTCTCCTAATATATATTTAAGCATAGTTTATCAAAAATAGAATTTGACAACTGTGATACGAGATTCTAAGTGGAGAGATTTAAGAATATTTAAACAGGACATTTGTCTCAAAGGCATTGTACTACTTTTACTTTCTTGGTTTTTCTAAGGATAGTTATATGAAATGATTGCTTTTGGGGAACCAAAGAAAAGCACCTACACAGCACCCGATGTTGGTGGTGGGGATAACCAAGAGACTTCCCTATCTGTGAACTGTAACAATGACCAGTGTGGTAATATATGCCCATGGGTGCAATAGTGGCAAGAATAATATGGGAGAAACCAATTGTTTTCTGATTGGATTTAAGACCTGCTCCACAGGAGGAAACATGTGACTCAAAATTGCAAATTTGGCCTATAACTCTAGGTGAGGGATCTCATAGGCCCCTGGGGGGTAAGCCTACTACTACTAGTATTTCCAATGTAAAAACTATCAAACTGATTTCTATAACTTTGTTTCTCCATATCCATCAGTGAATGCAGCTCTTAGACTTCATCAGAGAAGTTTCTTTGTGCAGCTGATGATGGCTAATGCAGATGGTGCCTGGTCAACATGCAGGGAAGAGAATAAATGATGGTGTTAGGCTCCGCTACAAATGGACCATCTATTATCATGCGCCTCCCAGTCAAGGTTTAGGGACCACTCTGGAAAAAAGGAAAGAAAGATAGCGAGAGTCAGAAGTCAGAGTGAACCAGTGTCTTCTGGGCTTGATGGTAACATTGTAGTCATGAACCCACAGCAGCTATGGCTAGCTGCCCAAGACTAAGTCAGTCAATGTTCTAGTATAGAGTGTGAAGGAGACTCTTGAGATCCCACCTCTGAGGACCTGTGAACGTTTGATGTCTTTGGAGGGGAAGGAGAGTCAATTTTCTTCAAGAGTAAGGTCTGTAGTGGTCAAGCACATTCCAGGGATGGCCCCAAATTCAGGAGTATAGGGATAGCACAAATTAGATTTAGTAGCTTATTAAAAACGAAAGGACACAAAATTGGGGGTTAGGAGGTGATGGTGGAGCTGAAGGGGGAGAAGCGAGGGATGAATTTGATCAGAATATATTGCATGATGGTGATAGTTACATGAAATTCTCAAAGAACTTATATGAGGCATTTCTAAAAAGTAGCTCCAATTGACAGAAAAATGTGATTTATAACTCTTAAAAGCCTACTTGTCATGTTTATTTTGTAGCTCTAGCTTATTTAATGAATTTACATTTATGACTATTATAAAATTTTTCTAGATAAACATCTGTCTATCTTTAGATATATCATAATACAATTTCCTGGCTATAAATTTAGTAATGAAGTTATAGATTAATTTAAGAATACTTTTTGTTTGGTTAATTATTTAAGAACATCCTTCTTAGTGAAAATACTCCAGGCCTTTATTATCACTGTGTGACAGCTTATTTCCAAACTTATCAAATGTGTCAACAAATAATTGTAAGGGTACATCAGAATTCTCTGGCTTCACTTGAGTTTAAATGCATCGGGACTTTTTTTTGCACCACACCAAATGTACTTCACACATCAATTAAGAACAATCAGTCTTTCTAAAATAGCCATTCTGATAGCCAAAGTGAACCTTCCCTTGTGTTGAGCACTGTTTTCCAGTTACCAGAGTGTTGTTGCTTGGATATAGATACTTATATTCCAAAATAGTGTAGCCTGTCTCACCACCCTGTTCCCTGTGATGAAAAGCAAATCGTGTCCACTCTTCACGGGCAGCTGAATTTCAGGCACAACAAGAACAAATGACTCCTCATTTGCTCACTGTTTGCAAGGGCTCATAGTTATTAATACTCTACCCCCAGCTCACATATTCCAGTCCAGCAATGCAAAACCCATGGGGTTTCAGTCGGTTACACCTCTCAGGAGACCTATTTGGAAACACTCTAAATATTGTTTCCTAGGTGCTAATTTTAGAACAGATGGTCTGATGGTATTTTAATAGTTCTATATCTTCCCAGCACAAACTTTGAGAAAAATGTCTGTCACTTCTTACAGTTTATCAAGGCTAATGGGGTTATCATGGCCTCAGTGCTTCTCTGAGAAACATGCTCTCAAGAGTGAACTTAAGTTTGCAAAGTGTTCATAATAAGAGAATTATGGGAAATGGTCCAAACAAGAGCTCTTCCAAGTTGCTCATCTTTCAACTGGGGAAAGTGAGTCTCAGCATGATTGAACTGTTGGTTCCATGTCAGACAGTATCAGAGTATCAATGGGAGGGTCTGTGATGGGGGACTTAGGAAAATGAGCATGGCAGAGGGTGAGAGTCCATGATGATGAGTTAGCATCTGAATTAAAGACTTAGCTTCAGGACATGAAAAAAGGCTGCTTGGCCCTTGTGTGAAACTTCATCATCACTGCTGTCCTGGGAGATGCTGAGAAAAAAAACAGGATTCTGAGGAATAAAAACTAAGGCCTCAAAACTGAAGAAAGTTCCCATAACCATTGAGGAGACATGTTCACTCTTGGTTCTTTCTACAAATACCTAGTTGTGGTTTGGATGGAAATGGCTGCAATATGCTCATATGGCTGAATACTTAGTCTTAATATTAGTACTGTTGGTGGAGCTGCTGGAAGGATTAAGATGTGTGTGTTGGAGAAGGTGTGTTACTTAGGGCAGGCTTTGAGGCTTCAAAAGCCCTCCCTCACCTTTCCCAGTTAGCTCTCTCTGCCTCCTACCTGTGGATCCAAGGCATGGGCTCTCAGCTGTTCCTGCTGCCATACCTTTTTTCTGCCATCATGGACTCTAACCTTCTCAAACTGTAAGCCCCCAATTAAATGCTTTTTCTTATTCCTGAATGGTTATCAGCACCAATTCTTGTTTTATGTTCTCAATGTAACTTGTTCAATTGCAAAACTCTTCCTGTACCTTCAGTATCAACTTTTGTTGCATATTAATTTAAATAGATTATTTTAAAAGACAATTTTAGGGGCACAGGTAGATGGTTCAGCAGTTAAGAGTACTGGCTGTTCTTCCAGAGGTCCTGAGTTCAATTCCCAGCAAACATATGGTGGCCCACAGCCATCTGTAATAAGATCTTGGGAACACTGTATACATAATACATTTTTAAAATCCTTTTAAAAAGATAATTTTAATATGATTTTTAAAAGATTTTTTATCAGAATGTCATTGCTGAGAGATGCCTGTTGTTAAAGACATGTAATATCAGCAGCTTGGTAGCTTGATACAGGATGATCACAAGTTTATGGTCCATTAAGGCTACTGAAGAGTTCAAGGCCAGCATGGACAACTTAGTGAGGTCTCATCTCAAAATAGGGACAGAGAATGGGAAATGTAGGATCAGCAGCATGAGCAATGCCCTGAGTATGACCCCATCACCACCACACAATGTAAACGTTGAAAACTCCTTCTCCACTTCTTAGCTATAGCAAGATCACTCCTTCAAGGTTCTCAAAGACCATGCTAGGGCCAGTGTAATCCCTGGATGGCAGGTCTCACCATGCTCCTGTAATCTATGGAATAAATGGGGTATGCTTTACAAGCCTTTTTGATCAAGGAGTATGGAAGGTCTAGTATCAGATGAGAACAGACCTTGTTAGGTAGTATATAGATCAAGGCCTGGAAGCTCCCACACCTGCTTTCTCTTCCTACCTCTGCCATCTTGAAGACAGTAGTAACAAGTGTGTGACATTTGAATCTGCCCCAGAATCCTCATGGGTCTGTGCTTCCCAGGAAAGGTTTATTACAGTGATCAAACATCGTATGATTCTGTGATATCAAGATTTGAAATAGCTGTTTTCATGGGACTCACACAAAATTTCTGTTTCTTTCCCAATTTCCTTAAAATTCTCTGAAATGCCTTTGGCAAGACTGGCAAGGATAAAAGACAGAGCCTACAGATGTAAGCCTGAGAAGGCCACTTGGCTCTGAGAGGAGACCAGCCCATGGCTTGGACATTACTAGAGCTTAGGTTAACATCCCCAGAGCAAACCTGGGATCCAGGAGTGTTTGGTTACATACAATAAGGATGAGGGCAAGCTCCTGGGGGCATTATTGCTTTTACTTTTGTCAGTGACTCACATCTTTTACTCTGAAGAATACAAAACAGAAGTCTAATAAGACTTTTTTTTAAGTACATAAGATTTTCTCAGTTGCAGCTTGTCTGGATAAGGTTTCCATAAAGACCATGGAGAATAAAGAGCAGTTTTCTCTATTTGCCTCTAAGAGATAGTTTGTATTTCTCAAAGGAAAGATTAAAAAGTAAGAGTAATATACTTTTTGACCTACTTTTGCTCTTTCAAATTGGGGGCCCCTCCCTTTTTCTGTTGAGTAGTATATTTTAACACAAGAAGCTTAAGAACAGTCATTTGGGGAAAAGCTTCTGGGAGAGGTGACTGAGTTATGTGTTGTGAAACTAGCTTATTATCTTCAGAATTGGGTGATATAATTGGGTGGATGAAAATTGTCATAGGACTGAATATAGAAGTTTAAGTTGCTGACTGTATATAAGAAATGTAAGTTAATAGTCCACATTAACTTTATGCTGGCTGGCTTTAAGGCCATTATTATTGTCGTGAGGACTGCTCTACAATGAAATTAAACCCCCCTTTTCTTTCTGTTTAGGCGTGGCCTCCTGCCCTGTAGATCCTTCTGTGAGGCTGCAAAAGAAGGCTGTGAGTCTGTACTGGGGATGGTGAATTTCTCCTGGCCAGATTCCCTCAGATGCTCTCAGTTTAGAGATCACACTGAGAACAACAGCAATGTCAGCAAGGTCTGCTTCTCACTGCTGCAGGAACATGGAAAGCAATGTAAGTATCTGTGTCTCCTTTTAAATTCAGATATACTACCCACTTAGCAACAGCTACATAAATAGGTGGACTGTCCAATATAGTTTTAAAATGAGCAGACTTCAGATTAAGATGCAGAATATTAACAATACCTATAAATGCCCTCTGTAAGCCTCTTACTTGTCTCTGTCCTGACTCCCATCACCTTAGCTAACTCTGCTTATTACTGAACTTCATGTAAGTAAAATAATTAAATAATATGTGATATCTCTCTGCATTTGCTTAACATTATTCTTGAGCAATGCATTGTATTTATTGCAGGTTCCATGTCTTCTCACTGCATGTAGTGCTCTAATACTTTACACTTGAGCAATTCATTGTGTTTATTGAAGGTTCCAGTTCTTCTCACTCCTAATACTCCATTAAACCACAGTATATTTCTCTTATCTGCTATTGGTGGACATTCGGGTTATGTGAAATTTCAGTTATGAAGACGAACAATGCTGTTACTATTTTCGCACATGTCTTTGGGTTGAACATAGTTGTGGGCTTGTTCAGCCGAAATAGCTTTCTAAATAGTTGTATGGACTTACACTCCTGGAATCTATGTGTGAAAGATCAGCTTGTTCCCATCCACTCCCAACAGTCTCTCTCATTTTTACATCTTTGTTGAGAACATTGAGGCTTCTCATTGTGATTTTAAGTTGTTTTTCCCTGAGGAATTTGATCATATTTTTAAAAATGTATAACTGTTTCATGATCCCTCTTATGGTACAAATATTTGTCCATGTTCCAATGATCTCATTAGTTTACATTTTCATATGCAGCATGGATGTATCTCATTATGGTTTTGATCTGAAATGTTGCACAGAGACTCATTTGCTAATGGCTTGTCTACTGGACCATGGCACAGTTGAGAGTCTCTGGAGCCTTTAAGAGGTGGAGCACAGTAGAATGAAGTTGAGTATCTGGTGATTAGGCACTGAACTGTGTATTGGGACCCTGGCCTCTCCTTTCTGTTTTTTGCTTCCCATCAACCATGAGGTGAGCAGCCTCATCTACCACGTGCCTTTGCCATTATATTTTACCTCTAAATAGTCCTAACGTGATGTGGGTGACCATGAACAAAATATCTAAACTCTGGGAAGGCAAAACAATTTCTCCTCCATTTAAACTGTTTATTTCAGGAATTTTGAGATTTTTATAGTGACACAAAGCTGACTAAATATAGATTGTATTTATTGTGTAACTACAAAGATCCCTGATTGTGCTTCCCTGTTTCCAACACTTATGCCTCTTATTTTCACAGAACAGAAAAAGAGAGAGTTATTATTTTTTATTAATTATTTGAAATTTTCATATGATGTACTTTGATCATATTCAATCCTCCTCTTCCAACTCCTCTCAGATCCATTGTTTCCTTGTCTACGCAACTTTGTGTCTTCATTTGAAAAATAACCTACTGAGTCTGATTTCTGCTGCCCCTCTACTCTTGGGTGTGTGGCCATCCACTGAAATGTAGTCAACCTACAAGGTGCTAGATCCTTAAAGAAAATGGACTCTACCTATCCCAGTATCTCTCATTTGCCAATAGCTCCTCAGCAAAGGGTGAGATTTCATGCCCACTTTCCCATTTCATGCTGGATTTGGTCTGATTTAAGCTTGCTTGGGTCTTGTGCATGTATCACCATCACTGTGAGTCTATAGTTGCAATTTCCATGCTGTGTCCAGAAAACATGGTTTCTTGTAGTCATCCACTGCCTTTGGCTCCTACTGTCTTTCTATCTTTTATTCCATAGTGATCACTGAACTTTGGAGGTGGTATGATATAAATGTTCCATTGAAGGCTGAGCACTCATCAGTCTCCTCTCATCTGTGCCTTGACCAGTTGTGAGTGTCTGTGTTAATCTCCATCTAAAGAAGCTTCTCTGATGAGGGCTGAGAGATGCACTAGTCTAAGGATGTAACAATAAGTTACTGGGAGTCATTTTAACAATATGTTCATTTAAAGAATAATAGTAGTAGGTTCTGTCCTAGGGCCTATGGTCTGTTTACCCATAGGTTTTTTGGTCTCTACCACAGTGCCATGTGTGAGTTTCATATTGTGGAGCAGGCTTTAACTCCAATCAGAAGGTTGATGGTTACCCCCATCATATTTGTGGGCATGACTTTCCAGAACAGTCTTTGTTGTAGCTCACAGAGCTCACAGCTGGGTCAGACTGATAATTACTTTTCTCCTCTGGTAGCACACATAGCACCTTCCATCACTATGAAATCTAGCCATTAGGGAAAAAGCTTCCAGGTGTGTACCAGATTGAGTTTTTCCATGTTCTAGGACTCAAGTATGTGGTTCATCAAGAGGGTCTGTTTATGGAAGGATCCCATGAATACTCCTAGACCAGGTTCACCTGCCTAGGAATGGCACTTCCCATAGTGTGATGGGCCCTCTTACATCAACTTGAAATTGAGAAATGTATCATAGACATGGCGTAGTTGAGATTTATTCTTCCCAGATGGATCTAGGTTGGCATCATTATTTGTAATTTTAAAAAGTTTTACAAGTAAAATATAGTTACATTATTTCCAGTTTTTCTTTCTTCTCTCTAACTTCTTCCATGTACCCCCATTACTCTTTCAAGGTCATGGTCTCTACTATATTTTACTTTAATTGATATATATATGAAATATTATTATAATATAACATATATGTGTATTATGTTCCTAAAAATATACTTGTTCTCTATAATATAGCTTTCTTTAAAATCATAAGTGTTTTTGTATTTTACCAAAAAGTTTCTTTATGTCTGTTAAGATGATCTGTTGTTTTCTTCCTATTAGGCTATATGGTAATAACTCCATTTTGACTTAGACATTGGTGATGCCCTCTTTCTTGGTAAGCATAAGCGAGTGTGAGTGCCAGGTTTCGGTACCAAAATGTAAGTGAGTATAAAAGATTTTTGACTCTGGAGCTGCAAAGGTGTTCTGACTTATCAGGAAGCCAGACTACCTAGAGGCACAATAGGACAACTAACCGTTAAGCGTGGAGCTCTAATAGGACAGTTCAACCCTGGAGGGAAAGGTGTCCTTACTTGTCAGGAAACCAGGCTACCTGAAGCTGGGATGGTCTATCAGTAGGATATAGCAATCCTGCTCCTCTCCTAGAGAGCTGTTACAGCTTAGCTCTGCTTTGTTCCCTTAGGGGAACGTCCTAGCACAGCTACCCACTTCATCCTCTGTCCGAGATGTTACTGCTTCTACTACACTCTGCTATAGGGGAGACCCCTGCAGAAATGTAGCAATCTCCTGCTCTGGTGAAGAGTTGTTACTTTGCTCAACCTTGCTCATACCGCTAAGGGAGTGTCTCAGCAAGGTTCTGCACTGGTGAATGAAGATCTTCACCCAAGACTCTCTTGAGAAAGAGATTTACTTGGGAAGGAGGGAGGAGTCCAGGAGCGTGACTGCCTCAGCCAGGGTGGGAATATAACCTGTCTTCTGTTTGAGTCTGAGAAGGCAGAGATGTGGGCTCCCCAGAGCAAACGGACTAAGAGACCTGCTATGTAGTCAAGCTCTGGATCTGATTGAGAGATGCTGCTCATTCTACAAGGTGGGAGAGTAATGACGATGATTCCTGACATCACCTGCAGGCATCCACAAGCACGCATACTCACTGTGATGGGTTAAGTAGGAATGGCCCTAGCAGCTGTGCATATTTGAGTGCTTGGTCATTAGGGAATAGCACTACTTGGCAGAACTTAGGAGGTGAGGCCTTTTTGGAGTAGGTGTGGCCTTGGGAAGAAGTATGTCACTGGTGGGTGGGCTTTGGGGTTTCAGAATCCATATCCAGGCCTCATGGCAATTTCTCTTCCTGCTACCTGTGGATCCATATGTAGAACTCTCAGCTCCTTCTCCAGCACCATGTCTGCCTATGTGTCATAATGCTTCCTGACATGCTGATAATGGGCTGAACCTCTGAAACTGTAAGCAAGGCCCAATTAAAAGCTTTCCTTTATAAGAGTTGCTGTGGTCATGGTGTCTATTCACAGCAATAAGACATTGACAAGGGCACTCTCACTTGTACCCACGTCCACAAAAACATATGCACCACACACACACACACACACACACACACACACACACACACGCACGCACGCACACACACACACACACACACCCCACAAAACCAAACCCCTATTTGATATATTTGTCTTATAGTAACTATTTTTTCTATCCTTCTAGAACATTTTTGCAAGTTACTCTATTCCAGTGGTTCTCAACCTTCCCAATGCTATGACTGTTTACTACAGTTCCTCATGCTGTGGTGACCCCCAACCATGAGATTATCTTGTTGCTACTTCATAACTGTAATTTTGCTACTGTTGTGAATTGTAATGTAAATATCTTATATGCAGGATATCTGATCTGTGACTCCCCAAAGGTGTCATGACTAGTCTAGTCTCTTTAGTTCATTTCTTTGTATGACTACCCTAATTCACCTCTGATGATGGTTTTAGCAATTGGTATCATTCCACGATGCCAGGGTGTCCATCTCTGTCACTAGTGATGACATCTTTTTTAAAAATTAATTTATTTTTCTACATCCTGACTTTATCCACCCCTCCCTGCTCTTCTTTCATCCCCCCTCCTGCGTCCATCCCATCCCTCCTCCTTATTCGCTCAGAATGGAGCAGGCCTATCATCAGTAAAGCATGGTCTATCAAGCTGCCATAAGACCAAGCAATCCTTATGTTCATTCTCTCCTGAGTTCTCCAGACCAATATCTCTGTCTTATGACCCCATTTCTTGGACTCTCCCTGAGGCCAACTGTCACAAGTGGGGTGCTCTAGAAATGGTCACTAAGAGGAAGTCTGAGGTACACATACTTATTGGGACTCAGTCCATTTGTTGTAGAGAGGAAAGAAGTCAGCTTTTGGTGAAAGGAAAGATTTGGAATATGATCCAGTGCCGTCAAAGCCTCAGCTATATGCAAGGGCACTCTGGAAGATAATTGGTCTCAGTCCGAA